CATAACACTTTATTCATGATTAAATGCTAAACAATATAAATTCCCCCAGCGAGAAACTAGTTTGCTCAGAAGAGTACAGTAGGTTGTATTATTGTGGATACAAGGGTCTGGAAGCAACTGAAGCTTGCAATAGGCCTATTATCTACGCCAGCCTAGATGTAGCAGGCCAATAATGGTACAGTGAACAACTGTCACTGTAGTCTGGCAACATCCATCTGATTAAAATGGTTCAATCTACAGCTGTCATTTGGTATAATAGGAGTGAAGTCACTGTAATAGATTGTTGTTACAGGATCAATTCCCCCTGCTTTGAAAATAAATTCTCGTATTTCACCTCAGCATATACTCTGCCTCTGTATTTATGTAGCAATGGAACACCATTATCCCAAGAGTGAGCTGTGTATTGGCATTATCTTTTGTCATTCGCCGTCAGCTTCTGAGTCAGGCAGAAGATCAGGTTCTCTATCTTTGCTATTCCATTCTTGAAGACTTTCACTGAAGTCTCCTTGTGGCAGCATTAAAATTCATCATCATGCCTTGCTGTTTGGGGCATCATTTTGGACTCCTGTGCTCACTGTCTTGTTTGAGGAGATCCCAGTGTTTTGAGACTGTCTAAATATTGAGCAAGGTGTGAGTAGTACACTTATTAGGTGATTAGTACACTTATTAGGCTATGACTTTAGGTACTATAGAAATGAATAAATAATATAAATCTTTTGGTTTCTGGTCACCTGCAGCACTAGACATACTGCTATCATCACTCAGAGTCTTAACTAGGAATTTTGGCACCCTGGGCAGAGATGCCTGCAAACAGGTGCCAAATGCCAGAGAGTCTTGCCTCCCCATACATGGGCTGCTGCTTCTGTGGTATGGCTTGGACTCCCTGGGGGCTACCATTTTGGCACCTCCTCCAAATCAGAGCCTTGGGACTGGTGCTCTTCTTGCTTACCCCTGGTTGCACCATTGTCACTACCCATTAATGTTCCTGTGGATAGCAGTTGTACTCTGTCTGAATACCTGGCAAACAACACCAGCAATCAATCAATTAAAGGTATCAGGGGAAATCATTGACTAGTACTTCTTTCTAGATCACATAATATAAGACTGCCAAATATGATGTAGTCTCAAAAGGATAGCTATACGCTAAAAGTGTAAAGGGATGTAGTTTTAAATTGGAGCAAGGAACAACTCTCCAATAAATGTTGGTGAGATTTGGTGACTGAAAGAATCACTGAAAAACTGAAGGAATCATAGGACATCATTTATTTCCTCACTCTTGCTAATTGTTCATCTAGTCTAGTTCAAAATTGTCTCTGCCTTGTTTAGACATTATGCCTCTAACAAGCAAGCAGGTTGAAAGCAAGATGTTACAATTCGTCCTCTATGTAGATGATCATGACTGGTTACTAAAATTAAATTTAATATTACTCTGACCCTCTAGGGAAAAAAACAACTAGAGAAATAGGCAGAAGCTTTCTCTTGTTTCACTAAAGCATGCGGCTCCCAAATGGTTTTTAAAACAGGCTTCTTTTTTGATAGATGTTGCACTCCAAATGGCAGGTGATCATCTCCTGGGACAGAAATGTTTGTAAAGCAGCACAAAACAGGCTTATGATTTTTTTTTTTTATTTGGAGCATTTTAGTCTCCTTATGTTTTCTGGTGCTTAGTAATTCTTTACTGCTGGTTCTGACATAGATTGCTTACTGGCATCCAAACAGATGATTTCATGGATATATTTCTTCACATTTTTTCCTTTCTCTAATCTTATTTCACATTTATGAGGAGGATGAACTTTGAATCACCTCTGCTGTCTTCACTTATCCGTTTGCCTGACCTTTAGCAATGTAGTGGCAGCAAGCCTCTTTTTCCTGCCCAATCTTCCAGCCTCTGTTTTATTTATTTATGTATTATTCCAGCTAAACACCACTCTGCTTAGCACCATGGTGTATATGTGCCCATATATCACTACTACACCGATTCTCCATCATGCTTCATTTAGCAAACAAGATTTTCAAAGCTGGCAATTGATTTGGGTCCAGTTAGGTTTTGTGTACCTAAATGGAGACCACTGAAAGAAGCCTGGTTTGAAAGGGAAGATGCTGAACATTTTCTGAAAATGAGGCGTATTTTGGGCACCCAAAAACAGAAGCATCGAAAGTTACTAGTTACTTTAGAACATCTTGGCAGATGAATTCACTTGAGGCCTGATTTGCTACTGTTTTACTCTAGTTTTATATTGCTGTGACTCAGTTGACTTCAGTGGAGACACTGATATATTAAACTGGTATGTATAATGCAGTACAGAATCAGGGACTTTTCTTTATCCTTTGGATTAATATATGAAATCCACTATATGTCTCTTAGAAACAGAAATTATCCTCACAATAATTTTACCTTATTCAGCATCTCTGCATTGAGGACATACAGGCTAAGACAGATAGGTACGTATGTGAATTAGGACTCGGTGGCCTTTTTATGACCACAGCTCTCTGTAAAATGGTTAACATGATGTGATCGTAGGAAAGCAGGGCTGGAAGGTCTTCACAAGGTCATCTACTCCAGCCCCCTGCTCAAGGCAGAATCCTCCCTGACTAAAACAGTCCAGCCAAGTGTCTGTCTAATCTGTTCTTGAAAATTTCTAGGTATCCTGTGTAAATGCTTGACTACTCTCAGAGTCAGGGAGATCCTCCTAATGTCCAACCTAAATTTCCCCTGCTGCACTTTGAAGCCATTGCTTCTAGTCCTGACCCCCACAGCCACAGAGAATAGTCTGTGTCCCTCCTCTCTGTAGTTGCCTTGCAAGTTTTTGAAGACTGTTATCAAATCCTCCCACCCCCTCAATCTTCTCTCCCCCAGACTAAATAGCCCTAGTGTCCTGGGAGGTGAAGTAATGCAGGGCAGTCACCAGCAGCTCGGGACAAGGCGCACATGGAGCGGAGAGAGGGACCCGCGTGGCTCGTTAGCTGCCTCTTTGTACAGTTGCGGCCGGCCGGTGACATCAGCATCAGACGCCGGCCGGCAAAAATAAAAATGGCGGCCACAGCTGCGGTGGGGGCGGATAGCCAGGGGACGGCGCTGCAGCTGACGCCGGCGGCAGAGTGGGTTCCATGAACAGACCCCAAGGAGACCAACAAACTGGAGGTGACATTGGCTGGGGAGAGAGGAGCACCCTGTTGAAGACTCCTGCCAACCAACGGAGGAGCAACTAGTTGGCCGAGTGAAGGGAGAGTGGAAGCGGCCCCCTAGAGTGCAGCAGGAGCCAGGTGGGAGTGCCGGGATGGCGGGCTGTGGAGGACGACACGCCAAGAGGCGAAGACCTGGGGACAGCCCTGAAGGGGGTTGCAATCGGGGCAGGGATTGCCGCCGGGGCCCGGGGTGTTAAGCGATAGATTGGAGCTAGTTTGGAGAGCGATGAACTGAGCGAAGAGTCATCCCTCCCCTTAAGGGTCCAGGGATGGGGAATAGGTTGCTGGTTGGTGGAGGTGTATTTGTTTTGTTTTGGACTACCCTGAGCCAGGGGGCAGAGTCTATAGGGATACATCCTTGTGGCAGGGTTGCAGGGAAGCCTTGGTAGGGGCTATAGTGGGGAAGGTTCCCCGTTGGATGGGATCAAGGAGTGAAGCACTGCAGGAGCTAGCCTGTGGGGCAAGCAGAGCTTCCCACCGTTGGCTCCGGAATGCAGAGCGGTGAACGTGATCTGCAGGGAAGGCCGCAGATAACAGCGAGGTGGTCCACCGAAGGTGGCGTGAGGCTGGGGTGTAGGGGTGGTGGAGCCCCGTGAGCAACAGTCGGGCCTAGCCTGGGCCACCAAGGGACCTGCTAACTGACCCCACCTACTGAGGAACACCAAGACGTGGCAGATGAGAATGGGGTCAGCGACGTGGGAGGAGAGAACTACCTCGACGACAAGCCAGCCCGGAAGGGGCGTGACGTCCGCCAAGAGACCAAAGTCGCCCGAGAGCGGCTAGTCGAAGCCCGGCGGTCACACCTAGTTCTTTCAGCCTTTCCTCATAAGTCTTGCCTCCCAGGCCCCTATTCATTTCTGTTGCTCTGTGCTCAGACTGTCTACATCCTTCTTGAAGTCTGGAGCCCAAAACTGGACATAATACTCCAGGTGAGGCCTCATAAGTGTTCACCAATGATTTCCTTGTTTAAGTGTTTTTCCTGCTTTATTATCTGTGATTGATTATCATGTAGGATGAAAATAACCAAAAACAAAATAGAATGAGCAATAAAATAAGGTGTGTTTTGCTGTTAGCTTAAGATTGACCATCTCTGAATAGAAATATAAATATGTAAACTGTGTTCCACAGCATCTAAACCTAAAAGGAATGTAGAGGGCTCTTTAGATTAAATCTGCTGCCTTGCTGCTTTGCAGATTCCCAGGTAATGAAGAGATATGGCTACAGATATTTAGGCATAATACTTCTGCTGGGGACTTAATTGATATACAGCTGAGATTGTGGAATGAAGGTCTGCTGTGTATGAACTCTGGAACAGATCTGTGTGGACCCTGCTGAACGTACTTGATGTGTGTTCTCTTTTTTGATTAAAATGTAATTGTCCTCATTTCTCACACTGTACCAGCATTTCATCCTTTCTTTTCTCTCTCCTCTTACACTAACGCTGCTTGCCCCTGCTGCTTACACTGACTTACTGTACGTGCAGTTTAACTTGTATATCTGATAAAAAGGGAATGTTAATGACAATCTCTCTAAAACTTACCTTGACCTAAGCACTATATGTCTCCATGTTCACAGAATTTGGAAATATGAACCTTTATCATAGGACCGCAGACTTGAGTATCATACAACAGATATAGAATTGATGGTTTGCTGGAGAAAGTGTATTTTAACTGAATTGCATTTTTTTGCTCTGCAGTGTGCAAACTGTCTAACTGGAATTAGATATATTATGGTTTAACTTTGCTTAAGAGCTTGACTGTCAAATGGCTGGCTGTGAATTTTTTTAATTAAGTTAATAATATTTTTTTATAAAGTCACAGATTGCCTTGTTCCACATGTTGAAGATGCAGAGATTCATAACAAGACATACAGGACTGGAGATCAGTTAATAATCAGCTGTCATGAAGGATTCCAGATCCGTTACCCTGACTTAGACAACACGGTTTCAGTATGTCAAGACGATGGAACATGGGATAATCTGCCCATTTGCCAAGGTTTTGTACATTAGAAAATCCTATTTTATAGTTTGTGTACCGTGTATTTTTTTCCTGTTATTACAGAGAATAGAAGTGATCTGCTAGGTCCCGGTTACAGAGCATTCTAATAGTACTTCTGCAAAGGCTTTTAAATTTGCTCACCCTATGTATTCCCTAGAAAAAATACAATTCCATGTTCTTTACCATACCTTTAACATAAAATAGTATTTTAGATGTTATTTGCTAGTTTAAAATCTGAGACAAGCCTGTCTTTCCTTTTAATGAAACATGGTGCAGCCCACCTCAGTGAGAAGGCCAGCACAAAGTTTTGGAGACCACACAAGCCGTGGGTCCACCTGTGGCTTTGTGGCTCACTACCAGCTTTAGTGAATGAGCTATGCTTTTAGCTGCCTTTTGCTTTTGTGAGCCCAGTGAAGTGGACACAGGGAGAAGAGGATAGCAACATAAAACTTAAGAGTGTACAGGGCCTAGTGTTAGTAATAGTGTTTGAAAAGGAGAAAACCCAATTTAAGTTGTGTCTAGATTGGGACAAGTAGGTGGAGCTAAGATGGCTGTAGCGCACATATGCTAACTAATCCTCATCTAACTATGATCTTTTGCCCTCCAGCAAGCAGAGGTTAGTATTTTTTACCTCAGTTAGCTGGCTGAGGTTGATTTTAGGCTTCCCTTGAAGCAAACCTTGATCAATTAAATAGAGACAAGGGGCATTTATACACATACTTGTTAGGTCTCGGAAGTGCCAGAGATCCATCACTTCAATTAATTGAGTCTCCTCTGCATGGGAGCTGATGTGCATCATGCTGCGCCACTTGTATAAGTGGCAAAATGCGCGTCAGCACAGAGAAAATGGTGGTGGTGCGCTTTTGAATGAAAGCACCTCCGAGGTGTTTTAGTTCAAAAGTGCACCGCCGCCACTTTCTTCACGTTGGCACACATTTTGTCACTTTAAAACTGCAAATGTCACGGCGCTGGGTGTTTTTCAAAGTGCCTGGCGTGATGGCACTTGTATGTGTAAAAATACCCAGGAGTTTAACCTGCATCCATGCTAAGGAAAAGGTTGGGTTTTGTTATATGTTATCTAACCCCCACTTAACTTTGATCTCTATTTGTAATCTAAAGCCCTAGGTGTTTAATACAATTTAAAAAGTGAGGCTTGACCATGTGAAATGCTGAGCAAAGTGAAGTCAGTGGATATAATGGGTGCTTGCCCTCTCAGAGTTAGATAAGCCTTTATGTTTGGAGCACAATAGGGAATTCCATAATGAAGCACTGTATTTTAACAGAGTTAGAATTTTAGACTATTATGACTTATTATTATCCTGGTGCAAAGGCATCTTACATCAGTTTTATAGATCCTCTTGTTCTGCTAATAGTGCTCCCTCTCAAAATTCAGGGAGATCAGAGAAATCATAAAATTAATCTAGCATAATCAAACTCTGCTGAAAACAGACAGTTGCTAAAAACACTCTAGCTAATATAGAAGAAAATGTAAGTCCTTGAGTTCCCAGGGGCTTTATTTTTGAACATGGTGTGTGATTCTATGCATAATTCGTAAAGAAATGAGAGTTCTTTGTGGCACTTGCACACTGAAGTTTGGGCAAATGGAGCTGGCCTAGCTTCGTCATTTAGATAAAATGAATTGTATCTGTGGGTTTTTAGCAAAACAAGCAGAGCCTTTAAGAAAACCAGTCTTTCCAGTCAAAAGAGTGAATGCACTTTAAAGCATTGCATCCCGCTTCAAAGGGAATTTGTTTGTGATAATTTTAAGTGTACTTGCCATTTTTAAACAAACGGTAATGAGCACCAAAGTGCTGTCTGTCTTGTGCATAGGAGACTTGGTCCTAGAGTTAACAGGTGGAACCTGTCTGGGTTGTTACTGAAATGAGCCATTATATCTATTGGTATGTTGTTTTCCTCAACTGTGATATCAGAGACCTGGAATAGAAACAGCTGCTGTCACAAACTCTTCTTCTGCTGTGTGTTCAGTTTTCTGCTAAAACCTCAGATCTCCTCATGTTTAATTCAGTCTTTGCCACATTTTTTAAAAAGTAAATACTATGCTAGTAAAAGGTACCAAGCCAAGAGCTCTAGAGTGCTATACTGTGTAGGCCCAGTGCAGGCTTCCTTTCATTGCCTTGGCAAGTGGTCCATAACCTCCTTCTGGGCACCCCAGGGCAGTGTTTGGTCTGTCTGTTAGGACAGCAGCTGAGGACATTAATGTGATTTCAACATTGGACTTGGACCAGCAACTGATTCTTGGCATTCCCACTGCTCGTGGGTGTGTTTCTCTTTTCCATATAAGTTACTTTATACTGTCAGAACCGTGTAAGGAACCTTTGAGTAAATGAGAATCAAGGCCAGTGACTCTGGCCATTGGATAATTATGACAGTAACGTAGAACCAAGTAACTTTGTTTTTTATTGCCTCCACTTCCACATTCTTCATTTTTCAGCAAATTAAACATTTTGGCAAAATTAAAAGCAATACAAATTGTTAAAGATGAAAAGATTAATTCAGTCTCAATGTGCTCATAGGGTGAGTGCGCGTGTGGTTTACAGTACTACAGACCTGTCTGCGATGCCACAAACTGCACACACTGTAGATACAGGCGTTTGCTGCACTGCGGATTTGCACTGCAGTGGGGTTTTTTTGGCACTGGGAGATCCCAGTGTAAAAAAATATGCACCAGAAAAAGGTTGGGCAGCACGTGTGGCTGTACTGCCCCAAACCAGAGCCTGGCTTGCTTGAGCCGTGCTCCAGCTGGTGGCCAGGCTCCGCATGCCCACAACGCTGCCAACTGAGTCCTGGGAAACTCCTAGGACCTCAGATAAGGCTTCTGGGCCAGCCTAGGTGCTGGCCCCAGCCTCCCCTACCCACCAAGGCAACTTGCTATATGCCAGAGCACACATTCAGGGGTCTTCCCCAGCAGCAACTAAGCAGCAGGACAACTATAGTTACTGTTGTTTGTCCCCAGGGACTGCACATTCCCGCTCATGGGTACATGCCCATAGAATTAACAGGTGGACCTGTTAACTGTATTTGAAAGTAGAGGAAAATGTATATATATATTTGACCTTATACTTTAGAAGTTAAATAACAAGCCAGTTAACCAACAGACAGTCTTTAAATACAAAGCTTGAATGTAACTCATATATATCATCACATCTGACTTTGAGGAAGCAGGTTTCTTTTGTGTATATTGGCACAGACTATTATTTTGAAGTTTATTTTTAGAATGTAGATGTCTAGTGTGATTCCTAGGAGCACATAGACACCTAACGCCCATGAAAATCCCACTATATGCTTTCAGTGCCTAAAGACCATTAAAAATCTGGTCCTAAGAGCCAAAATTATTTCTGGTATAATTTCACCAAAGATAAATTTGGCCTGTTTCAAAGTCTGATTCTTTGTTGCTGTCACACAACAGACTGGTTATTTTTTCATGTAGAAGCCAGTATAAACTGTTCTGTCTGCAGAAAATCGATCTGTTCCATATTTGGCCCAGCAGAAAAAGCAATAGGCAATAAATAGGACTAGTGCAGTTTTAGTTAAGTAAGGACATTAAGGAACCAATAAAATAGCCATTAATAGCTATTTTGTGGAGAACTGAAGGTACTGCAACAAGCTTTATTTTCCCCATGGGCACTGCCCAGACTAATTTACTTACTTTTTCACCTACATTAGAGTCTGTTCCTTAAAGAATGTTGTCTGGGTATCTCAAGCAAGGAAAACTGAATATGAGCAGCTCCCTACTGGACATGCTCAAATTGTAGGACACAGCATGTAACATTTTTTTTAAATCTATTCTTGGATAAAGAAAGATTCCAATTTTTTACAGCTGGTATAACGGGCCTTAAAATGATGAGTCCATATGATCATCTTCAGGAATTCCTCAAGGTGACAAGAGACTTATTAAGGCTGGTTGTTGCCATACCATGCAGCTTCTGTTTGTCTCATCAGTTTTTACAACATTTCTTTCCATTCTTAGATTACTAATCATGTTTCCTCAAAAATCATTGCTGGTCACTTGTCAGTGATGTTTGTCAACCAAAAAGGGTCGTATTTAAGGCAATAAGGAAAGTAATTGTGCTGTTTTTTTCCAGTGCACAACTTGAAATCTTAAGTCTGAGTATCAGCTCAAAACAGTATCTGCTCAAGATAGTGGATATATATGAATTGGGTATCATTGGATCATGAGTGACCATGTGATAAACTTCCTTTTATTTATAACATCCTATCATTTATGAAGCTCACTATTGGCTTTTGTGGTGTCAAACTTATAAAATCTGCTTTAATTTGATCAATACAGACCGAATACATCCCAATACAGGCCCTTTCTAGATAATCTTAGGCCACAGTTTTTGGAAATTACTTCTGATCTTGAATGCCACAGCTTTTTGGTGTCCAGTTTGAGGCACCAGAGCTTTTGAACATTAGTCACCTTTAAGCTGTCTCAGCTGAGGTCCCAAAGTTACTGGTCATTTTTTAAATACTTAGGCCCTTTCTTGCCAGCACGCTTTGTAATATTGGCTATCTCAGCATTAAAATAACTTAAGAGGCTGCCTATTTAAGGAGAGCAATAAAGCCCATGGTTTTCTATTAGCAACAATTTATTAAGGGATTTCATCCCAAAATAATGAACAGCTGCTAGTCTAGTGAATATTTGAGGTTAGAAAATAAAGCATTACAACTTGTAAAAGGGCACTGATGAATTTTCAGCAAATAGCCTACATTGGCAGAATGTGTGGGAAAGCAATGAAGGAACTTTAAATGGAGTAATGAAGCTTTTGCATCTGACAGGATGGGCATACCAAGAAGTTACTGCAAGATAAATGAGGGCAGGAATTTGCAACGTATCAGCTGTACTGCAACAACTGTCTATGTGCATGGTCTTTCCTCCTAGTAATACATGTAAAGTAGTTTAGCCTTCAGTGAAAATGACTTTCCTTTCATGAACTGAAAGGTAAGAACATGAACATAGGTTATTATTACAGAGTAGCTGACACGTGGGTAACTCACATCATGGCTTAACTTCAGTAATTTGTTAGTGTACTGTATCCTGAGAGAGATTAAGTAGGAGTGGGGGAAATATTGTGCTTTTTAACTTGGGAAATATAAACAGGATATGTTAATATGACTGAGATAAACACCTCATAATAAAAGATACCTCCCTCTTCTCTAATTTGCAGGTTGCCTGAGACCATTGGTTCTTCCTCATAGTTACATTAATATATCTGAGTTCGAGTCCTCCTTTCCAGTAGGAACTGTGGTATATTATCAATGCTTTCCTGGATATAAACTAGAAGGGGCAGAGTTCCTTGAGTGCACGTATAACCTTATCTGGTCAGGTAGCCCACCTAGGTGCCTTGACGTGGAAGGTAAACCATCTTATTGTTTTGTTTTGTGTTTTAATTTTGGACAGTTAACAGTCTATCTATAATTGTAATTTAGGATTATGATCCCAGGACCATTTTGCATAGTCTATCCTCAGGATATGTGTAGCATGTCCATTCAAACTCCTGTTTTGAAGTGTGTCTTCTGTATATCTTGGAACACTGCACAGTTTAATTGTTAAGGTTACCTACATAATGTTTGTTCTCTTGGCTATTGTGATGAAAATACCTAAGTTCTTATTAGTAAAGATCGTTTATATGTAAATCTAAACTGCATCATCTTTGCTTTTCTTATGAAAAGCTGAAAAAGTTACTGAATTTACCTGCATATAAGGACAGTTTGGGGAGCTAAAGATTTGGACACAATTCCCTTTTGAATTGAAAGCACTCTTAAATACTGATGAGTACCCTGTCTCAGTTCAGCTGGCATGCCAGGTGTAGACACACTTTCATGCTGCATGATTTTGCATTGAGAATACTGGATGTACTAGTGAAAAGCAATAAAGTAATGGAGTTTCTTATCGCTTATTTTTAAATAGCAATCCAGGTTCTTGAATCAAGAAATGACTGTGTGCTTAAGGGGTTTCAAGTACAGGAACTGATTTTATGATTTAATCTCTCTTAAAATCAGGAACAGAATCACAAAGTAACCCTGCATAAATATATGTTCTTATTTTATTTCTTTTAGTAGCACATGAAATACATAACTAAAAAATAATCATCATATGAAAAGCCTCTGTCAGATATCAAAGCATTTAAGGAGAGTACAACATAAAGTAGGATAAAGTAGAAATGAGTCTTTAATGAGCTAGATAAGAGCATTAAACCCACAAACACAAGTGGATTAAACAGAAAATGCTGTATGCATCACTTCCTGGCTCTTCCTTACCACAGATAAAAATCAAACCACTGGTCCTTTTTCCTGTCAAAGTACGTAGCAAAACTCCCATTAACTAGTAGTTTTGCCGTGTATAGGGCTGGGTTTTTAGCACCCTCAGATCATTTAGTATTTGTATCAGAGCAACACCCAGCTCTATTGAGCTAGGTACCGTATTTTGTGGTGTACAAGTTGACACAGTGTAGAAGTTGGCCCCATATTTCTGATAAAAAAAAGTTAGGATTTTCCTATAAGTCAACCTCACCACTGCAGCTAGTGCCCATGAGCCGCAGCCAGGCGGCCAGCAGCAGAGCTTAGCATGGGGGGGCTGTGAGTGGCTCCTGCCCAGCAAGCGCTGCTCGCTGTTGCTGCTCTGCACCCTGGTGCTGCTGGTGAGGAGCTGCTCACTGCTGCTGCTCTTTGCACTGGTGCTGCTGGGGGTGGGTGGTGGCACTGTGGCTCCCGCATTGTCGAGTGGTGGCTCCATCCTGCTGGCCAAGATATACCTGCGGGACAGCCACTGGGTTGTGAGTAAGTGTCCCTGGGCCAGACTCAATGGGCATGGGGTTTGGGCCCCCAGCCTAGCTCCAGGGTGTTGGGCAGGGGCAGGGGGGAGGCAGGAGCCTGGCCTGGCCTCAGTCAGCACCAGGAAAGCCCCTAGATGCCAGCATGCAACCTCCCCATGTGGCAGGGAGCCAGCGTAGAGTCTGGCTGAAGTATTGATATGGTGTATAAGTCGAGGTGGAGGTTTAAGAGGAAATATTTTGGCTTCAAACTTATACATCATGAAATATGTTACTTTAAAATATGAGAGTGAAAGAGAAACTCTGCCCTGAAAATCTTGTGTTCTGAATAGACATGACAAGTATCAAAGTCTCTAATTCAAAGATGGGGAACTGAAGTAAAGAAGAGAGAGAGAAAAAAAAAATCTTGCTCAAGGTCACACAGCAAGTCTGTGGCAGAACCAAGAAATGAACCCAAAATGGATGTGTCCCATATTTGGTCCAGAAGAGCAAGCAATAGGCAGTAAGTAGGACTAGTGCAGTTTTAGTTAAGTAAGGGGGTTAAGGAACAAGTAAAATAGTCATTAAAAGCTATTAAATGTGTTGTGACAAGCTTTATTTTTCCCACAGGCAGACAAATTTACTTACCTATTCAGCTACTTCAGAGTATATTCCTTAAAAAATGTTGTCTGGTTGTCTCAGGCAAGAGAAACGAAAGATTAAAAGCACCTTATTGCCCATGGTCAAACTGTAGGACACAGCATGTGGCTATTTTTTATAAATCTATTTTTGGATAAAGTAAGATTCCAATTTTTTACAGCTGGTATAACAAAGCTTAAAATGATGAGTCCATGTGACCATCGTCAGTAATTCCTCATGGTGATAAGAGAACTATTTAAGGCTGGTTGTTGGCATACCATGCAGCTTCTGTTAGACTCATTAGTTTTTACAAGGTTCTGGCTCATCCTTCCTCCTTGTTACATTTTTCACAATTCTTTTTATATTGCAACTAAAACTTTTCTTGGTGATTTCTAGTAGGAATCTCATACACTCTGGGGAGAAGCAAGCAACAAAAGATTGGGATAAGCACCCAACACCTCCAAGAATGGGTTCTATGGTATTTGGGGTCCTTCCAGTTTCTATGGGGGAACAATGATCAATAGCATTGTAGGACCCCAACTGACAATTTAATTTCACAGCTGTCAAGGAAGGGTGCTCTAAGTGGAGCACAGCACAGTTTTAAACTTCCATTTTTCACTTTCATTTTCATTTTACAATTCAGTTTTTAAATTTCCACCCACATTTGATTATTTTGCCCTAAGTGACTTAATGAAGGAGCATCAGACTCCAAGGAGGTCTGTTTCCAACTATAATTCTCCAGAACTTCCTCCTTTCACATCTGTTATTCTGCAGCTCTCACTGAATGTACCAACCCCACTTTGCAACGTACCTACCATGTATTACAACTAAATTTGTATTATAATGTACCCAGCAGCATTTTTCATGGAGGAGATATACAAATGGCAAATTAATTCCATTAATTTATTTTCGTTGATCAATACTAAGTTAATTTAACAAAATGTCCTGCTTTGTTCTTTAATATGGAATTGATTAAAAGCAAATAAATACTATAATGCTTTACTAAACATTTGTACTGCTTGTATTTCACTGCAAGCAATTTTGATTATAGTTTCCTCCCTTCATTGTCTGCAGGCCTCAACAATTTGCAAACTGCATTAAAAAGGCATTTGAGGTATCTTTACAAAATCTCTCTGCAATCTAATAGCAGACTTTATAGTAATTATCCTGATTTAGTTGTGCTCTGTGCTACCTCAAAGCACAAAAATGCCAACATTTTTGGTTACATTGCACTTAACTCTCCATCTAAACATGAGCTTTCAGATCCCATGGAGTCTAGAACAGCAGCAATCACACATGTTGTCTGAGAACCTTATGAATTTTGCCTCTTTCTAAACCACATGAGCTAAATTAATTTCAGATGTAACTCTGCTGAAATGGGTGGAGCTACACCAGGAAATCATTTGGCTTTCTTCCCCCTTGCCCCTGCTTGCATAGCTGTAGTATTTGTTTCATAAGTAATGCTTCTATATATACTTTACTAGGTGTTTTGTATTCTCAAGGCTGTCAAAGCATTTTGTGTACTTTACGAGTAGAATCAAAATAACTGGAGATGGAAAGAAACTACATCTCATTCAGCCTTTCACCACCAACACGATTCTTCCCTGTGATATGCTTTTAATGCTTAAACTGGTCTAATTTTTAGTGCTTCCATGCATGGAGCTTCACCAAGTCTCATGGGAGATTCTTTTCTACTCATGCAGTTCTTGCTGTTGGGGAAGAAGATTTTTTTCCTTATAATTAACCTAAATGTTTTCTTTCACACATTCTATATGAAAATTGCTTTATCCAGTGTTGAAATGCAGCCTTCCCTGTGGAGGTATGAAGCAGCTGTTTAGAAACAGCTGTTTTATATCTGATAAGGGAAAATGTTCTAGGCAGTGCAGAGTGCAGTGCCTATAGTTAAAGTTGTCCATTGCTTACCTGTTTTCACTTGCTTATGACATTGCCAAACTTAAACCTCCCAGATTTGAATTTTTCCATTTCAAGTATCTGCCTCAAGCTGAATTGTTAAAGTTGTTGGAGCTAAAATGGCGCAGATGTTGCTGAGAACAAGGTGAGGGTAAGACGCATTGTTTTGCCAATGCTAAATTCTCACAGTTGTTTGCTTGGGAAGACCAAGCACTTTTTGAAATTGGTGATAAACAGCATTTGGAGCAAAAGTTTGAAATATGGCCTTTGAATCTAGGGCATCCCTTGTGCTGTTCTTGGGAAAATCCAGGCACATTTTGCCATGTTATAAGACTGAGAAATCACCATTTGTATGCGCTTAGAGGAGATTGCACTTGCACTAGGCATGCTCTCTCCCTTTGCCGTTCCTGCTTGCTGGCCAGATTGTACACATGCCACCCCAGTCACTAGCCAGGATTTTTCCTGAAGTTGCTTCCCTCAGCTGCTAGCAGCCCTCATTGAGGTCAACACCTGAACTGAAAGCAAAACTGCCCTCAGTGTTTCCCATGCTTAGGCCATGGATGCCTGAAAGAGAATGAGGAAACAGCCTGACTGGAATGCAGTGGGGAAAAATGTAAAGAGGAAAAGGATGCAGGGGAAGGAGCTATTGGCAAGAACTTGAAGGAGAAGGAAGATTAGGAATGGGAGGTGGAAGAAAAGGGACAGGAGGTGTGGAAGGCAAAGGTTAGGAGTGGTATTCAGGTGGATAAGAGGAGTTGTGGGTAGGGCCAGAAGCAGAGGGAGGGTAATGGGGAACAGAAGCCAGAAAAGAGGTGGACAGGGACAGCTGTTAGGTGTCTTAGATGGATATGAGTTGGGGAGGCGTCAAGGGTAGGAGCTGGTAGGGTGAAATGAGTCCAAAAGAGAAGAGGGAGACAATGGGGGCACTTACACAAATGATTGGAAGCCACTTCCCATCGCACCATAACATTTGCACTTTAGACAAAGCGCTTAAAGGTACAGCACTATCAAACTTAACAGACATTCGGCATTTGATGGTGGGGGCTTACAGCCTC